TCTTGTATCTGATATTCTCTTGTTCTTATTTTGTTTACTGTGTTGCTTTTGTTTTATTATTTTTGTTGTTGTCGTCGTTCTGTTATAATTGCATATTTTTTCTATATGTCCTTGGATATGATGTCCTCATGTTCTTGCTTTGTTGATGTTGCTACTTTTGTTGTATTCGTCACCGTTGCCTTTGTCATTGATTATGATGATATTTGCTCTAGATTTTCATTACGGTTTTGTTTGATTGATGCTGTGGTCTGTTTAAAACGGTGTTTGCATTGCAGTGATTGTTGTGTGTTTTATCTTTTGTGAAATTAATTATGATAATTTTTGGTTTAGTTTTGTTGATGTTACTGCTTTTGAAAAAAAAGGGGCAGGGGCACGGTGAGAATCGAATCCACGACCCCGGGGTCTACAAGCCGATAGTCTATCATGCTGACAACTGGGCTATTAGTCGTAATCATTGATTTTGTTGTTGATGATGAAGGTGATGTTTGTTGTTGCTTTGTCAACATGCTGTTCTCGTTCTTGTTGGATCGATGGTGTTAATGTTCTGTTTGAACATTATTTAAGTTTTCATTGATGTTCTTGTCGTCGATGATATGATGTTTGTAATTGCTTTTAATTTTGTTTCGTTAATGCTGTGGTGCTCTCGTTTTAAACGTTGTTTTGTTAATGTCATGGTACTTCCTTGTGTTGTTATGACGATAACTTTAGTTTTTCTATCTTTGTTTTTGGTTTGTAGGCGATGTTGCTGAATTGATTAAAATTCAAGTCAATTATGGAACAATCGAACCCTAATCAATAGGCAAGATTTTGTGCCAGTCTACAAAACTTCTTAAACTTAAATTGTGCTTTATTAATTTTTAAAATTAATTAATTGAAAAGTGAAACGTTACCATAACACGAATATAAAACCGAAATGAAGTCGCATAATTAGGCCTCTTTTCGTTTCATCATTACTTCGGTACTTCTTATCCAACAGTCCTCTTGTAATCGGCATAAACTCTTAAATATCTGTAAAAGATAAGTTAATAGGTTACATAAATAGGATTGTTATTTTTGTAAAAAATTTAAGTATTAGAATATTATTGATCGTATAAATCATAGAAACTTAACTTCACCAACCAATTTTTTGTGTTAAAGCCAGGCATGGCGTGCATATTATCCAGCCTGAAGGCAATGTTTATTCAATAAGGATGTAAACCGTTCTCAAGTGGACTGTCCAAAATAGGAAAATGGTATCTTTGGGAATATCGTGCATTTCGTGAAACGAACACCTTGGATTTTTTAACGAGCGTTGCACATGGGGTTCGTTGTCCCACGAAAGGAACGGTGTAAAATCAAGATAGGATATTTGCTTCGGGTTATTACATTAGATATTCGTGAATGATGTCTCCTATTTCTCACAAGAGCGTATTTCCTATTTCGCCTTTTCAGTCGTTTCACGGCTGACCGATTTCGCCGAAACTCGTCATATGGGATGCCGATATCCCTGGGGGTCGCCCTGGGTAAATATGTACAAACTTTCATCACAGATTTTGCAAGTGGTGCACAAGTGGAAAGAAAGGACCAAGTATTCAAGATATTTCAGAGGATAGAGTTCACCAATGACAGTGATGCATTGGTAGGGGGAGGAACTTGAATGAGACCTATCATTACTCGGTTCATACCAGGTGCCTGTTTTTACCTCAAAAGCACAATGTGCCCATTTCTCAACAACACTGTTTCATAACCACACTGCGATAATTTTAACACAGCCAAATTAAGTCATGTGCTCCGTTAATTTTGCAATAACCGTAGGCAAATCGACTGGCCTATTCTGACACTATTCGAACATGGCACAAATTTTTCTATTATTATAACTGAATTCTTTTAATGATTGTAGTAACCTTGTTTCTCTGATTTAAAAAAGTTATCGTTGTTCTGCCGGTCAAAACTTATTTGGCAGCAACATACAGCATGTATATCAGATAATGAAATACATAATTTGAGACATAATGAAGTAAAAATATAGAATAAAATATTTTTTAACAAGAAACTGCGTCGATATTCACTTTTGCACCTCCAAAAACCCCTGACCACAAATTTTTGTAAAAAAAATTTCCGACGAATTTTTTCTCGAAAATCACAAAAATGGTGATAACTGTTATTACTCCACTGATAAAAAAGAAACTTTTCAGGTTTAGAATCTTATAAACATCATGTAATAGAAATGATAAATAAACTACTAAATATAATGGCACAAAGCTGGCGTTTGTGAGTAATTCAGAACCGGTATAGAATAAAACGTTTGTGGAGTTTTTGTTGATTCCATTCATATTTTTCGCACTTATAATAACATAAAAACCAAAGTTTGTTGGTTAAACTCAAAGAAGAAAGAGAAATGCAACTTCCATTGTAATATACTGCAGAAATTGGACAAAAACCAAAGGCGTGAATTTTTAAGTGGAACACCGGCCATCGGGGCTAATTGCAACCGATTAAGCCCAAAAATTTATATTTTATGCTTTAAAAGTTTGTATTCATTCAAGGACTTTAAAAAATGCTTTAAAAGAATTCGGATTATTTAAAAAAAGAACTCTGCCTACTTTACAGGAAGCGACTTTTCATTTTTGTAACTTTTTATATATCTAATTTCATTAAGCACTATCCTGCATATTAATTTCTTATCCTAGGTACAAAAACAAATCGACGTGTATAAAATTAATTGTGAAGTACATGCACAATAAAGGCAAAAAACCATTTCATCCGTAGCTTCACCTTGTTAGTTACCATGTTAACCAAAAAATCCAAATGCTTCCTGTAAGGTGAGTACAAGCTAATGCCAAATTTGCCAAGTCTTTTTAATTTAAATACAGCTTTGACAATTTGTAATATATTACCGGTCCCAATCATAATGATAGATTGTATCAACCGTCATGTTAAGAAATCTCGCTAGAACCGGCGGACTAGTGGTGTTCAAGCTGCGGATAACCTTCAACAGCTTGTAAAGACAAACAAGAATTTTTAATATTGACAAAGGGGCATAATATTTCAAAAAACATACTCTTGGTCATTTATAAATTAATTTTCCGAGTAAAAAAATGTCAATTAGGGTGGGATTGACAAGAATTCACAACGTTTACTTGAGAATCGTTAACTAAGCTGTTAAAATGGCCAAATATTACAGGATTGTGAAAGGATGTGTGTGTGTGAGAGAGAGAGAGAGAGTGAGAGAGAGGCGTCGATCATTCGTCAGGATTGGCTTTTCTTCCGAATCCGTCATTGGGGCGAAAAAGTAACCCAGGTTTTCACGTGTCAAAACAAAGTTTATTAACTGTTTAAGATATACAATGATGGTATCGACGCGGAAGACACACACTCCCCTCAAAGTTCGCTCACTCCATAAAAATCTGAAAAATGCCTAGCTCACTGTCTCCTTTTTCCGACCAACAATTGTCGCATTCAAAATCTAGCTTTTACTGACCAGTGACTAACTGTTACTACTTGTGGCCAATTCACCAGAGACAACTCTGATTCCTACGTGCTCGTGTCAACCACTGACTAGTTTCTACCCTTTTGGTGGCACTCATGTTTTGCAAAACTTCCCAGAGAGCCCTACATGGGGCTTTCTTGGACTTCTTGATCGTCCATGGAACACACTTTCCTGAAGTCCTTAGTAGTTAAAAACTGGACCAAAATCTTATCACCTTGTGTTAATGTAACAACGAGAAAACAATGTGACAAAAATCACCAATTTGCATACACAATTAATTATCTGTGTTATTAGAATGCAACCGTTATTATCTGCGGGTGCTGGAAATAATGAGAAAGTCCCATTAGCACTATTTGAACGCCGTGGGTGAGGCAACAGGAATAAATTGATCATCGACATTTTCTCAGACATAGGTTTGGTAACACAAATTCATTCTAATGTGGGATTTGCATCCAAATAGATTTCTCACGAAAAGGACGTACGTTTTGGAAGTTTGAAAGATCCGCTGGAATAGTTCAGCTTCCGTTTTTTGTTTAGTAACGGAAGAGAAGTACAAAATGTTTCAGCAGCACTTTCACTCCAGTGACCTTGCCTCCTTGCAGTTCATGGTCACAATTTCAGGCCGTCTTAACCGCAAAAGCAAGATGACGCCTGTCCAACTTTATATTCGAAAGTAAGTGCATCGCACATACAATGAGTGAATTTCCTTAATTCCTAAACCGTTGGACTGTGCAAATGAGGTAAAATTGTAATCTTTGGTCCTCCGGGCAGGACTTACAAAATTATAGTACTACTTCTCTATTTGGTTTATTAAATTTTATGAAATGTATTCATTGTAATAATATTTCTAACTGGTTCTTCTTCACGTGATTTTTAAGTTGTCTAAGATTTTTAGCATTGTATAAATTCACTTTTTTCACACCATACATGTATTTGTATAATTTAAACAATGTTTATAAATCCCAGGCCCTAAAGATGATCTCAATAAAGATCGAAACGTTGGCACAACAAAGAAAATGTTTTTCTAAAACCTACATCACACCAGACCGCATCTCACGATCTCCAAATAATCATTAACTAACGGTCACTAAAACACCACACATTATTCTGCCTATTCATCCCATTGTATTGGGCAGATATTCATTATCATTCATCCCATTGTAAGGGTCTGCTATATTTCTTATTATTCAACCCATTGACACCAAAGTGAAAAGTAGTTTGATCATTACCAATAATTTTGGTCTTCCTATTCTTGTTGGTTTGGTCGCATTTTGCAATCTTCAGTACCTACATGCACCCCAATACCTACATCACCACCTACGTGAACGATACCGCAATATTGTCTTCTAACTTGAATCCTATTCAAGCTACCCCCAGCATCCAAGAGACAAAATTATTGAGGATATGAGTTAATCAATATTATTAAAGTTAAACAATACAAAATAAATAGGTATGAAGACTGTTGTCAAACTTGTTGTTTCCATTACCTAATGGCATTATAAATCATTAAAATTTTACAAAAAGCAAGGTCTTTTTTTTTCTTTTTTTTCTTTTTTTTTTTATTTGTACCATTTAAAACAAACCACATTATTTGAACTGTACATGCATTAAACAAAAGCTGTTACTGTTGTTTTCCATGGCATCATAACGTTACCAATGACTGATTTTCAGCATCCTGGGTATCCTGAATAGCACCAGGATGCATAAGGATAACACTGTGTGTAACACGGTGAGAGGCAGTTGTTGTAACTGCCAGCCATAATAGCAGGATTTGGGTTGTAGTTGCACAGTGAATTGCCCCTCAAAAATCTAGGGTTCCATCTGCAAATGTCTCGCAAAGTTGCATTACATTCAAGACATTTCGGACTGCAAGCCTCGTTTTCTTTGCACTCTGAGCCATAATATGAGCTATAATCTGGTGGGCTCAGATAACTTAGCAACCTCTCTGCTTGGCACGGTGTAACACACCTGTAAATAAAATTATAAATATCCAGCAAATTCTCTTGATTGTAAAAGTTTAAAATTTACAAAATAATTTTAGCTAGCAAAATACAATGTCTTTGGTTAGATCAAATTGTATATAAGTAGTCTTACATTTCAGCATTTCCGCTTGGTATACATAAAGGATATGGTTTGATTAAGCAGAGTTCATTATCAGTGCATTCCGGAAGTTCACAGTCTGCTTGCAAACCATCTCGTTTTCCACAAATGCAACGGTTTATACGTCTCCCACCTTTAATTTTTAAGATGTTATCTTTTGGAGGAGGTTCAGGCTGAAACTATTGACAATTTTTTGTAATAAAAAAAGAAATAATTTTTTGGGGGGATAACTTACTTCTGCGTCAAACAAATCACACTCTCTTGGTCTTGACATTGGATACGTAATAAGAGGGACTGCCCAATCTGGGGGAAAAGGCTCACCAAGTTCATGTGTTGCTTTTTGGTATCTGTCACAACTGAATTGAAAAATTTTAGTATAGCAACGTTAAAACCTTGTACCCACTTAAAACAAAATTTACTAAAAAGCATTAGTAAAAATAAAATAGACTCATCAAGAATTGAGTTTTAGATCATATTACCAATGAAATTATTTAATTTCTGTTGTCTAATTATCTAATGATCTGTTCAAATTCTTAAAATATTCATTTCAATACAATCTTACTAAGCTGTCCTGTCTTTTACTTATAACCTGGGATTTTTCTATAGTAAATGTTTTAACACATCAAATATTTTTAAAGTTCTTACGTATCGATGCAGCAAGCGAGTCTTTTCAATTTGCAAATTAAATTCCTCTGCATCTCTGTTGCCTCGTGACAGCGCACCACATCGTGATTCCATGACAGTCCCTCACCCATAGTAATATGGTTTGTAATAAATGTTACTTATGTGTGGTATGTGTGTTTGGTGTGTGTGTGTGTGTGTGTGTTGTGTTGTGTAGTGTTGTGTGTATGTGTATATGTAAAGAGTACTCTTGTTACTTTTCCTTGCTTGAACTTGAATCGTGAAAATTTACTTGTAAACTACAACATATGTAGTTTATTTTATTTGCCAGATGTTTAGACTGGCAAAAATAAATAATCCCTTCATTAAATATTTAAAGATGCATATTTTTATGCATTCACTTATACTCATTTCAACTCAATTCATTTTAAATAATTAAGGGGGCTTTTGTGTCCAATTGGACATCATGCTCGTATTCACCACACTAGCGGTTCTGGGTTCACATCCCAACAGCTCAAGGAATTTTAATGAATATGAAAAAAGTTTGCAACACCAACAGCTAGTTGGAAGTTACTTTTACATTTTAAATTAATTATGTTTATGTATTACATTATGAATAAATTTTTCTAAATTCAATAAATAAATATGCTAACTTCTTTTACTGTTCTATTTTTGTTTCCGCTTTTATGTTCTTTTTAAAATATAATAGTTCAACATACAGTTTTACTGTATGCAATTAAAACTAGTTATGTTGAAGTAGCACTGGGTTTTCATTTTTAGTGTCTCACTGAAGATGGCCCAAGCTGTAATGTGTTTGAGTGTCATTAAAACCTGCAAGTGCAGACGAAGTGATCCAGTGGTGCCAGTTCAACTTAAATTTTCAGATTTACCAGTTAATTTAAAATTAATCAATTAAAACAATTGTCTCTTTTTAGTGATCTATAACATGCTTGAATAATACAAATACATGATTGAATTATCCATAACAAATATATTGATCAATTTGACTACATAATATTAATAATATTGCATAATAATAAGATTTTAATCACTTTGCAAATAAATTACAGATTCCATTGTTTAACATTTTGTCGATTTTTAATTGATTATGATGAATAGTAATGATTTCATTTGACATTATTCTTATTCTTAAACATTTTTCAATGGTCCAGTCAGTCATTTGAGTGAGTATGACAGAGTCAGGGACAACACTATTAGAGGAAGGACACAGCTAGTATGAAATTTCCATGAGACTGAGTGTAAATCACTCTACAATAGGAAGGGTTCAGGTTCTTCGGCATTTCAGAGGAACATGGCTTCATTTGAGAAGGCCAGGACAGGGTTGACCTATGTCTACAAATGAAAGAGAGAGAGAGAGAGAGAGAGAGAGAGAGAGAGAGAGAGAGAAACTATTAATCTGTCATCAGGCTCTACAAAACCACAGAAAGGGAAAATGGGATAAGAAATCTGATAAGACAAGTTCGAAAGTTTCGATTTCCTCTAGGACTGTAAGAAGAAGGCTCAATGAAAATAACCTCACACAACTCATGGATCTCTTCTTACTATAGCTCCGGCATCAATTCGCTTGGAACATTGGAAGATTGAGGACGAGTTATTTTTACAGATGAGGTGAAAGTTGGCCTAAATCTTTAGATGGGGCTTATTTCATATGGAGACTCTCAGGAGAAAGGTACACCCTATGCTGTATGGTTCCTCAGGTGAAATTCTTTCTGTGGATCATTAACGTTCTGGCGTGGCATTTCCTTGGACTCCCGCACTGAAGTGGTTGTTATGCAAGGAAGATCTCTAACCTCAGAGGTACACACAAGTCATTGAAGAACATGAAGTGCCATTTGCCCCCCCCCCACATTGGGGAGAGTTCTTGCTAATGCAGGGTAACACCAGACCCCATAGAGCATATATTGTGGATGACAACCTGAATGGGGTTGGAATTGGGTGCTTGGTATGGCCAGTTCGAAGTCCAGATTTGAACCTAATCGAACACATCTGGGACCAACTTACACAAAAAATATGACCCAGGTCTTAACATCCTAGTAGAGTTGAAACAGCTGTTCTTGATGAATGGGAAAGAATTCCTCAGGATTTTATCGGAAATCTTTTCCAAGGCATGCATAAGCATTTAACGGACATGATTCATGCCAGAGTTGGAAATACTTGGTATTAAAGGAGATAGAAAAAGTTTTTTACATTTTTATTTGTTTTTTGAATTTTCCAGGGTTTTTTTTTTATTTATTCAAATAATTTTTTTTAGAATTAGGTATTGAAATTTTTCTTTTTAAATGTCTTATTTTTGTTACAACCAAACCTATTTTTGGTATGCAAAATATGAATAAACCTTACATATATTTAAATATATTAAAATTTCAGAATTTTTTAAGGTTTAAAATTACTATGGTTTTCATTATTATTATTATTATTATTATTAAGTAATTTAAAAATTACTATGATCTGTTTACTGGGACTGTGGTCAATGTTTTACCTAAATTGATAATTATTTCCATGGCCAGCATAAGGTTACTCGCCTGATATTATAATTATTCATATATATCAAATATAATATTTATAAAAACACAAGAATTCAGTAAAAGAATGTATTATCATCCCTTGTAGTAAAATTATGTACAGCGATAATACAAATAAACACAAAGCATCATATGGTGCAATAAGACAGAACTGGTGATGATAAATCACTTTTGCAAGGTACACCAAAACAAATTTGGATTTGTTGAGCATGGTGAACAATTATACATATAACTTGGTTGATTTCCATTGGTAGGGACAGCCATCGTATTGGGATTATTCAACCCATTGTATTTAATAGGCATCATATTGTTATTCATTACATTACTTTGGTTGGCCATGTAATTGTTGTTCATTACATTACTTTGGTTGGCCATGTAATTGTTCATTACATTGCTTTGGTTGGCCATGTAATTGTTCATTTCATTATATTGGCCAGCAATTTTACCATTGTTCACCCGATTGCATGGGTCTGCCATCATATTTTGATTCATCCCTTTGTTTTGGACAGCAATCTTACCGTTATTATTTAACCCATTGGATTGAACAGGCATTCTATTTTGATTATTCATTCCGTTGCATGGGTTAGTCATCTTATTGCTATTCTCTCCATTGCATTGGTTAGCCAACTTAGCATTACTGGTTTTAGTCGGGTCAACCATTGTAAATTTAAGTACCATCTTAGAGCATGGTTCAGTCTTCTTACCAGGATTGTATGGGGTAGGCGTATTGTTCTGACTAGTTGGGTTGAACGGGACAACCATATTATTCTGATTATCCACCACATTGCTTGTGTCACCCGTCTTGTAACTATTCGTTCCAATGTTAACAGGCTTACCATTATTCATCCCATTGCATTGATCAACTACCCTGTAACTATTCATTTGATTGGTTTGATTAGTCATATTATTCAGATTATTCATCCCTTTGCATGGATCAACTACTCTATTATTCATCCCATTATTTTGGGCAGGGATGTTCATGTTGATATTATTTCTCATTTGATTGGTTTGATTAGTCATATTATTCTGATTATTCATCCCATTGCACGGATCAACTACTCTGTTATTATTCATCCCATTATTTTGGGAAGGCATGTTGTAGTGAACCCTACTACATATTTCAACTATCTTATTGTAACCATTCTTTTGATTAGCAACATTGTTTGGGACGACCACATTATTCTGATTATTCGTCCCACTGCATGGGTCAACCATCTTGATATTATTTCTCCCATTGCCTGGGGCAACCACTTTATTCTTATTCATCCCATTGCTTTGGTTATCCATGTTATGAACCCTACTGCACATTTCCACTGTCTTGTTGAAATAATCCATTTTATTGCTTTTACTAGCCACATTGTTTGGGGCAACCACGTAATTCTGATTATTCGACCTAATGCCCGGATCTGCTGTCTTGTTCATCCCATTACACAAGTCAAATGTATTATCTCGAACATTGTTCTTAGTGGACAAGCCGACCATATTATTCTGATTGGTTCCATTGTATGGGACTCTCATGTTCTGACTATTCAAATCAGCCTTATTTTGATTATTTATCACGTTGTATTGAACGGCTATCTTATTACTGTTCGTACCAATGCAAGGGTTGCAAGGGTCTGCCATATTATTCTGATTATTTATTCCATTGTATTGAACAGGTGTTTTCTTACCGTTCATATCATTGCAAGGATCTGCTATAATATTCTGATTAATCATCCCATTGCAAGGGTCTGCCATATTCTGATTGTTCATTCCATTGTCTAGTCCAGCCATCCTAAATTGAAAAGTGATCTTCGCAAGGCTTGGGTCAATCACTTTATCATTCGAAACAATTGGTTTACCAGGGACTGTATCCTTTGTGGGTGGAGCGGGAATACGAGCATCATTGTTAGCATTTCCTGCAGAGTTAAAAAAATCTGGATTCCATTTGCAAATATTTTGTAAGCTTGCATTACATTCTGCACATTTAACGTTGCAGGGTTCGTTCTCTTTGCACTCAGTTACCTCCAAGTTTGGATTATTGGGTCGTAATCCACCTAATAAGCATTCAGCCATTTCAGGTGTTACTTTTCTAAACAGAAAACAATAACTCATTACTTTTGTATATTGTTAAAAATTTAAATTATTTGTAATATCTATTTGGCAACTGTTGTAGTTTATCAATAAAAACGATTTCTTACGTTTCTGCATTTCCGCTTGGGGGGCAGATTGGATAGGGTTTGGTCAAGCATAGTTCACTACCTTGGCATCCCACAAGCGGGCAGTCAGCTTGAAGACCATCCCTTTTGACACAGGAACATATATAATATTTCCCGGCTATTATTTGGGAATGCTGACGCTCCCAAGGCATTTTCAGCTTTAAAAAAAAAAAAATATATATATATATAAATATTTGGTTTGCATTTGAAATTATTATACGTACATTCATAAAATACTCCTTTTCTCTTTGGGGAGTAATGGGATATGTAATAACTGGGATACTCCAATCTGGAGGAAAGGTTTCTGAACAGCATTTATTCTTTCCTGTTTTAGTTTGTCTGTCACATCTGAAAAATTGTTTAATAAAAGCTTCATTAAAGTATCCATCTTAAAATAATCGATATCAGCCTTTAATATTATAATTTTGAAATAAAAAATCAGGGATCTAATTTAGACAATTCCAATATAAAATGGAGGCTATAGATCTTGTTTCACAACAGCACTCCATTGAACTGCACTTTGAAAAAACAATAAGTGTCTGTACAGAGTATGTAGATGTTCATATTTGTTAACCTTGTGAATTATTAATAATAGTTTCATAGTCCTGATGAAGGAAATATATATTCCTTGCAAGCTTGACTATGGAACTGAATGGTTTTATCCTGGATTGTTAGTATAAAATCTCTGTAATTCGCACTAAGTGCTGAAAATTTCAATTGCAGTAGAAAGGCAAACTAATGTTACTCTTTGTGAAAATTTGCTTATAAAATTACTTTTATAAAAATTAAATAAACTTTCAAAAATAGGTAAGATATTGAAGAACTTTTTTTTTTCTTTTTTTTTAGATAATGTGTGGTATTTAGTGTCTGTTAATTAGACTGATTGGAGATCGTGAGATGCAGTCTGGTGTGGACTTAGGTTTAGAAAAACATTTTCTTTATCGTGTCAATGTTTCGCCTTGAGGATGATCTCAATAAAGATTGCAACATTGGCACGATAAAGAAAATGTTTTTCTAAACCTAGGTCACACCAGATCGCATCACACAATCTCCAAATATTTTAAATATCATTATTCACCCTGAAGGTTCATATAACCTCATAGTTGAAATATGTAGTTTAAAAAAAATTAAAATAATAATTTTGTTCTTACTCTTCAACCTCCTTGAGCAATGCTTTCAAATTGTTGAGGGTAGTTCGGTAGCAATCACCGGCGCTTCTGCAGGCTTCAATATCATGCTTTGGAGTTAATGACGACATTGTGTTTATTTTTCTTTTACTGATTTATTTGTTTTATTTGGGTGTGCTTGTGAATTGTTCTTGAGTTCTTGAGTCTTGAAGTTCTTGTCTTGCCTTGTCTACATGTCTTGCTTAACTTGCTAAATGTTCATGTTTGTGTGATCATATGATCTATGTTTCTAAATAAAACATCTGGTAATATTTTCATCTTGTCAAAAAATCTTTTATTTGTTAGTTGCTGAGATTTTACATAATATTGTTAATCATGATTCTAGTTTAAAGGTTTAATATTCATGAAAGGAAGGGCAGAAACAACAGAGAATAAAATTAATTTTTTTAAAATGTTTATTCTATAAATTGTTTAAAACTTACAATGTAAAATATAAGATTTTGTGTTTAATGGATCAATTAAAACTCTATTTTTTAGATGGGTATAGGAAGAGATTTTATTTCACTTTTGACTTCGTCATATAATTCTTTATACCCCTCAGACTCGCCAATGTATGCAGCGATGACTGCTCGGTTTACTCCCATCGCTAAACCAATATCCTCCCTTGATGGAACAAAAACGTACGGTACATCCTTGTCTTCACACACAGCTGGCACATGAGTATAGACATCTATTGGCGAAACGTCTCCTGCTAAAATGGCAATTCTGGAAAAAAAAATACAGGTTTCATAATTAATATGAGCACGAGTTTTAACTCTGCAATATCCTTATGAAAGTGGGTTTTGTTTGTAGCAATGACAATACATTTAAATGCAAACATTAAGAAAACTAGTTTGTCTCCAATTTTGGCTATATGTTGGTCAGAAAAAATCCGAAACACACCTAATAAAAAGGTAACAGAAGTAGTCTAAGCAGGTTTTGGTAGGTTCTTTGAAGAACGACTCAGTCCCAACATTGTCAAGGACTGTAATTAACCTTATCTTCAAGGAAATTTGAAACCACCTATTAAAAATCTAATTATTTCAATTTGAAGACATACTTAACATTGTTTTACCCTGAACTGTAACAGCTGAATTTGGTTTTTTGCCCAGACCATACCAAGATTCAGATTATTCGTGAGTAAAAAATTGGTCAATAGACTATATATTTTAAAATAATAGGTGTACTGTGTTAATTTTGTACATCCTACCAAAGTAGCTACTTCATGGTTAAGCATAAAGAGGAGCCAAACAGATTTTCTATGGTTATAAAATAAAAACAAATAAATAAATGATTTCAAACATTTTTTATTAATTAAAATCCTCTTCATCACTTTCAATACACTTCTCCCAACGTGTTGGCAACTTCTCTTTACCCTCTAAATAGAATTTTGAGTCTTTATTATTAACAAATTCTGTAAATGCATTTTCCAATGACTTTTGATCAATAAATGTTTTTATGTTGTAAAACATTGTCCAGGTGTCTGAAAAGATGGTAGGGTGGTAGGCAAGAGATCTGAAGAATAGGGAGAGTGAGGCAGAACAGCATAACCAAGATCTAAGTTTTCATGTTGTCACGTGGCCGAGCAATATCATGTAAAAGAATCAGCCTTTTCTGATTGACCAAAGATGGCTTCAATAATGCCAATTTCTATCATTGCTTCATTTGGAGTGATTGTATTTTGGTATTGAATGTTTCACCAGGATTCAAGAAGCTGTAGATCAGCCCAAATGAAGCCCACGAAAAAGTCACTATCACCTTTTTTTGATGAGTTTGGAAAATGTGGTGCTGCGTCTCCTTTGTCAAGCCATTGTCCAGAATGTCTGCTGTTATCGCTGAATATCCACTTTTCAACACAAGTAACAATTTTATCCAGAAAAGGTTCACTTCTGTTTTGGCAAAGAAGTGTTGTGCAAACTTCATAACAATGACTTGTGGTAGTTTAATGCATGTGGAACCCAACTTTCAAGCTTTTTCACCCTACTAATTGTCTTAAGGTGGTCAGCAACGGTCGATTTGCTAACTGAAAGATTCTCTGAAATTTTCTTCAACCAAGGCTTGAAAAGTATCATCATCTAGGGAAGAAATCCTTCCCATGATCTCCTTAGTCATCAAAGCTAGTATCCTCTCAAAATTTTTAAACCATCTCTAAACGCTGCTCTCCCACACATTGTCATTACCTCAGAGTTTGTTTCTGGCTGTTTGGGCACCATTCCATCCAAGTTTAAACTTATAGAACGAAATTACACAAAAATTGCGCATTGACATCTTAGAATGTCTGAACAAAATGCTACTGAAGTAAACAAACATATTTGTTTGTAAAAAGATTAAAAAATGTTGACATTCATACAAAAGAATAATCCATTAAACATAAACAGTTTATCTGATAGGGGGGTTTTTGAAAGAAAACTTGCGTTATTTTCCAGACAACCCAATAGAATCTTCATCTTAAATCAAATTATTCCTGTTAATATTCTATATCTGAGGTCATTAATGATTCCCTACACTAAACTCCTTGACCTTTTCCCAGATCACCTGTTGTTTGGCTTGAATACTCCAGCAGGGGATCTGACATGTAACAACCGTTTGATTGCATGTGGCATGAGTATGGGGTACGGGCCTACTCAGGCTTTTAACCCCTCGGGTCCTGGTCGCCCGCCCTGTGTAATATATGTGGCATGAGTGTCTATACAAACGCATGTTCTAATCAAGTACTTAACCTTTTCTTCTTCAGAGTTGATCAAACTACTTTGTCAATACTAATGTAGATTTTCTGCAATTTCCAGCTTCAGATTCAGAATTCTTCATTAAGCTTAAGGCTTTTTATCAAATCAAAGCTTTTATTAAGAGCTGTTCTGTACCTTTCATGCCTTGGCTTTTCCTCTCTAAGCAGTAGGAATATCAGCCTGCATAGGCCTTTGCATCAACAGCAAACATTTTCTGCTGTTCCTTCTCCTGCCTGGTAATATCTGCCCAGATTTCGTTCTGCTGCTACGAGGCTGTACAATTAATAGAATCAGATCTGATGCAGGAAAAGTGAAACCTAGTTTATACGGTTACAACAATTTCAGACAAGCATCTTTGAAGTTTGAAATATACAACTTGCTGTCCTACCAATAGATCATTTGTAGCAATAGTCATAAGTGTATAGCTAGTCATATTAAATGTAGCTTACCCTTCAACATCTCCTTTCCTGAGTCTTGCCTGTACGTTCTTCAAACCACTCCAATATGCCTTTCCCTCCTTGTGCGCTATAAACACAAAAATTTGTTTAAAAACAAATAAAATAAAATACGGGAAAATACTCCAAGCGTACATTTTTTTATCAGCTTGTAGATTTTTTTCGTGAGCTTCCTACTGGCTAGGGGTTTAGCGATTTCATTGACGAACTTGAGCCTCTCCTCGTAAGTCAAGACCTGTTTACTATCCATCATCGATGTATCTTCAGGCGGTTGTTCCTCAAACTCGCTCAGGCTTTGTTTCTTCTTGTCTTTAGTCATTTTTTAAGGCTCTTGAGATGTTGTTTAATAAAAACAAACACGGAAAACGCCGGTACTGTAGACCGTCAACAACAAATCCGTTGAACAACACGTGTATCTGTAAATGCCACTAAATGGAACCTCCATCAGAGGTCATTTACAGACGCTAGCACTCCTATCTGGGTTTGGGGCGAATTAAAGTATGGGTACTATTAAATATAGCTATACTATTAAATATATAAAATATTAAATATTTTATCTCAACAAAAACCTTAATTAATTGAAAAGAATTAATTTGGTCAAGCGGACCACGAAACCTAATAAAAGGATTCATGACCAATTCCCTAAAAATGATAATTCTATGGCAGTGGATCATGATCAATTTTCCTAAATTTTTACAAAGCTACAAGGATCCATGATCAATTCACTCAAAATGATAATTCTATGGCAGTGGATCATGATCAATTTTCCTAAACATTTAACAAAGCTACAAGGATTTATAACCAATTTACTCAAATTGTTAATTCAGTCACAAAGGAATGTCCTCAAATCTATTACAGCTACTAATTTTTTTTCTTTCTTTATTTTAAGAAACTTCATATTATATGTACATACTAACTCCCATACATCACAGAAACTACAAGAATTACTAAACTTTAGTACAGTTCGGAAAATAAAAACATTGGGGGAAAACAAGAAAATTACACTTCTCTGGCTATCAGGGTACACAGCAGAAGGGCAGCAAAAAGGGCGATAACATTGGGCAAGGAAAATTTCATGAGAACACCTTTTCTCCTCAAACCCTTTAGTGGCATACCAAACTGCCAAAAAACGTGGATCCATCAGACAATGGTTTAAAAATAAGCCTTCTGTTTAATGGGAATATAACCTCAGACAGAGGCATGCAAAAACATTCATCTAAGGACCAATGTAAAAACTAAACACCATAACTACTAAACCTTAGTACATATTAGGACTGTTGATGTGACACTGCACTATGGAGGTATCAAAATTAAAAGCAGAAGAAACCAGCCTGTGCAGATATTGCTAGAAAAACTAAGAAACCACAGAATATGTCCTATACAGGCTGAGATTTTACTCTCGAGAAAGAAAAAGCCAAGGCTTGAAGGCTACACATGGGAGCCCTTAATAAAGCTTTGGGATCTGACAACAAGCCATAAACTTAACAAATATCCTCCAGACATATTAGAGACTGCAGAATAGACTAATGTTAGTCAAAGTTTGCAACTCTTAAAGAAGCTAACTCCTTTTAAGATTCACCAATGTTCAGTGATATTGATCAAATTTCTTTTTGAATTGTTACATTTTTAACAATTTTTATTATATTTGTCAGAATTATATTAAAAATATTTTTTTAAATATATTTAAATAACTACTCTCTCAATTTTTAATTATGTTCAATCTTATGAAACAATATATTTGTTTCAATATATTTTACTAAAAGTTTATATGTACATTATCATGTTAACAATTTCATATAAGCAAGAATATGAAAAGGCAGCTTATTAAGAACACAATGAAGTATATCAGTGCTACAATTGTCACGAACAAAATCCTTCCAAATTTCTTTAAATTGCTTTCTTGATGTCCCTCTTTATTGCGTGTAGATGATGTGACAGTATTAATGCTCTCGGTCAGCGATTTATTCGAATTCGCAGACTTTCCTAAATCTCCAACTTGAGCTAAGTCTCCCGTTCCACGCTTTTTAAGCACCATCTCTTGACTTGAAGGGTATCGGGCCAAGGAGTTATCAGGACTGTTCAAAGGCAATGAGAAGTCCGTTATAAAAAAGCCTAGAAAATTTCTATTTAGAAAAAAAAGAACACATTTTCCACATTTCTCATAAGTACTTACAAAACAACAAACATAAAATTAAACAATTTTTGATAAACAGCATGTAAACTACTAACAAGCATATGATAGAAATTATCAGTTGCAAAATACCAATTTATCAATTGTAAATGTTAACTTTTGACCATTATTATTCAGAAATCGTGAGATGCGGTCTGGTGTGATGTAGGTTTCACAAAAACATTTTCTTTATCGTGCCAACATTTCGATCTTTATTGAGCCCTGAAGATGATCTCAATAAAGATCGAAACGTTGGCATGATAAAGAAAATGTTTTTCTGAAACCTACATCACACCAGACCGCATCTCATGATTTCTGAATAATTATCGATTAACGGTCACTAATCACCACACATTTGACCATTATAATGTATTATATATTTTTTGTCGTAGAGACTTGTTGTGTAGGTCTTGATTCATAGTACCTTCACTTCTTGATAGTAGCATAGTTCTTACATGCAAGTATTTTGTCTTTTTCCTATTATTTGTACTAGAAGGATCAACAATCAATAACAAAATGTGTCTAAATAAATTTATTTTTTAAACATTCAATTAAAAATTTTATAAACTTTTTATATAATTTATTTATTTCAAAACGGTATCATTAAAAATGGTTTGAATCACAATGCAGTTTGTGGCCTCTTGGAAATCCAGTCCTTCACTTGTGGAATTTCAAAAAATTTGGCCCTCCAGGTTTTCAAATTGGGATAATCCGCATATATATCCACACCAAGCAGAGTCACGAGTGAATCTGAAAACCCTCCTAAGTAAAAGTCAGCCCATGAAAGCTAAAACAATATTATATTAATTCAAATTATAGCACATTATTATAGTTTTTTTTTAAATATAAAATTAAACTGTCTACCTTTCCATTAGCGAAATATCCCTTATTTTCTTCAACCATTTTATCAAACTTGCTAAAGTAGTAGGGTAAAGTTTCATTTAAAATTTTAGCTTTCTTCGTTTCCTTGACAGCTGGGTCAGGTTCGTGGTGAAATAAACTCACCTCTAAAAAATATCGTTAAATTCGACAATTTTGATATATAATTTCAATGTAAAATGTTTACCTTTTCTAAAATCTTGGAAAGTATCGACAATTATATCAATTTGCAGATCTTCCCAATCATTCGACCCCCTAAGATTGGCTTCTTTGGCCAAATAACGACAGACTGCATTCGACTGGTGTAAAACCTTTCCATCGACTTCAAGAGTCGGCAATTTTCCAAAAGGAGATCCTGTCGGAAAAAAATATTACTAATTTGTTCAAATCTTAATATTTAAAAAAAAAAATTTACTTTGCTTTAACTTCTGCCATTCTTCAAGTGAAACTCTTTCATCTTCAAAATCCTTGCCCATGTAATGAAGTATCATTCTTATGGGCTCGCCAAGAGCCTTCACATTAAAATATGTAAGTTTGTATTGAGACATCTATTAAAAAAAATATGCGATTAATGTACGAATGGCCAGTAAAGAAAAAAATCAGTAGCTACACAATTTGCACCCACACTGTGTTATATAATTATACTCTTTGATCTAGTAAATTTTTTATGAACTTTTAAAATGAATTTATTGTGAGTTAAACATTAATAAACAATTTGAGGTCAGAGCTCCCAAATAATTATTATGATCTTAACACATTCAATGCGGCTGACCTTCAGGGAAGATAAGGTATTCCAACAGGTCAAATTACAAAAATAAATAGAACGTTTAATTTTTTTTTTTTTTTTTTGTGTGCCCTACAAGATCGATTAAAATTGAAATTACAACTCGCGTTAAACACATCTTAAAAGAAACTACATTTTCAAAAATTTCAATAAATGTATTTTAATTATTTATCTAGTCTCACTAGCCAATGCCAAACTTTATTTTATCTAGAAAATTGGTTCTGATCCATTTCTTTTTAGAACAAAAAAAAAGTTTGTTCGATCCACTAGACTTCAAAAACAGGTAATACAATTTATTTTTATCTAGACCTCTTATCTTCTACTTATATAATAAGTTCTAAAGATTAAGATCAATTTATAAACTCAGCTAAACATTAAGTTTTTCCTTTTTTGATTTATGCTTTTGTAAAGCATTTAAATAATCATGTTCAACTATTTAATAATAGGAAGCTTGCAATACAATCTTCTTTTACCTACTGCATCTTCTTGTCTGTCTTATCTAAAACAAAGAATTGATAATGGCCCATTTCATTATAGGGAGAGAAAAATTAGTTGTTGTTTGTTTAATTATCAAGCAAAAGTTAGTGTTAAATCTGGCTTGGCTTTGTTAAAATGTAACAACCAAAATATTTGACCATTCCATTGAAAATATTTCAGAAAAGAATCCAATATAGCTATTGATTCAGGCAGATCAATATTCAATAAAATATAGTACAACTCTTAGAAATGGTTTTCTGGCCAATTACATATTCCACATCGATTTCTTGGAAGTTTTATTATATATCTTAATTTGACATATTCTATCCTGACAGTTATTTTTTATTAGTATTTTATTTTATTTATTTTTGATCTCCTCACATTTTTTTTTCATCTGGCGTTTTTTTTACTTATTACTAATATAAGTGCTGTCATTTATATTCAACCCTTCCACATGTCACTTTGTTCCTAATCCATTCCTAATTTGTGCACAAATGTGATTATTTACTAAAAGGCCCTTTTGAAGAAACAAAATTTTAGTAAATTGGCGCAGTCCGCCGAAATAGGGTCTCCCTAAGGCATGGCAGGGTGATGGATGAGCAAAGGAAATTGTGGTAATTTACGTTTATTTATTTAATTTATGGAGTATGGTTAGACCCATAATCTTTCAATAAGCATTTTACACAAATGAAATAGAATTAAACTAAATAGAATAGGCAGGAAAACTTAGAACAATATATAATATAATGAACAGTACAATATATATTCCATGCAATAATATACAGAAAGATATTTTACATAAAATTTTTATTCTTTTTAAGCAATTGAAAATATTTATATAATATACATATTATAAAATATAATGAACATTACAACATATATTCCTTCTAATATTGTACAGAAATATATTTCTTAAATCTTATTTACATATTTTTTAAACGGTTGAAAATATTTACAAATAATTCAGAGACCAATTTATATTCTAACAAGTTTTTTATACTACATTTCTGTGCAATGTAGAGTATACAAATTTTGTATACATTTTAAAAGGTATTGAAATTATATTTAAGAAATATATTTCTGTGTAAAATTACATACTGTTGATTATATTATATATTATTTTGCAATACAATATGCATATTATAAAATAATATATAATATAATGAACATTACAACACATATTCCTTGTAATATTATACAGAATTATATTTCTTAAATCTTATTTATATATTTTTTAAACAATGAAAATATTTAATTACAGATAATTCATAGACCAATTATATTCTAACAAGTAATTTATTCTACATTTCTGTGCAATATGCAGTATAAAAATTTTGTGTACATTTTAAAAGCTAATGAAAATATATTATTTCATTGCACTTCTTCAATTAGGAGACATTTCCCAGAAAATAAGTTAGTTCTCATTTTCTGGGTGTTTCTAGGGGTTCATTTTCATATTCTGGGGCTAATTTAGAATGAAATACCGGCCTGAATTTAATTTTTTATCGGAAAGAGAGAGAAAAAAGTGGAACGTACCTCGGCCAGGCAGGAAGCAACAGGTCGGTTAATGTGCGCTGGAGTCAAGTCAAAAGGCTTGTGGGGTCGTGGGCCGCGGCACGTACTCCGTTAATTTGATTGAATTGCTTTACAGACGACGTCATTCCATTTCCAGCGCTGGGTAGAGAAGGTGGAGAGTAGATGGCATCAGCTTTCAAGTTTAAAGCGCTCTCTGATGTCTGATGTCTGATGTCTGATATTGACAAAATCGAAACATTCTAATATTCAAAACCAAAAGCTCTTTATTTATTTCATTTTATTTTTTTCTCTATTCTATCTAAACATGTACAATGCATAAAATTACATTGTACCTTGCAGAAATGCAATAAAAATAAATTTTATATAGGCTGATAAATGTATTTCAAGACAAAAATGAATTTATTTGCTTTACATTGAATACGTTATTCTGAAAAAAAAATTAAACGAAATGTAGGGCACAATAATGTAAAATGAAGTCTACTCTCAGTAAGCTTAACTTGTGCTTGAGAGCAGGAGTTCAGATCTCACAAATAGTTTTATACATTACAAAAATTAACAAAACACATATTTGTACAAATTAGTGATAGCAGTATATTCTTTAGTTGACTATTGACATTTTAAGTATTTTTTAAAAATTATTTTATTAATATATTACTTTTAAAAATTTCTCTTCTTGTTTTTTTTTTTTTTTTAATTTTTTAATTTTAAATTTATTTTTAAAACTTGCTTTGCTTGCTTTGGAAACTGAGGAACATCCTCCCTCATACGTACTATCTTATACTGAGATCTTATCTGACAGATCGATTTTGTCGAGTCCGTCAGGGAACTGAATTCTCACCTTATATACGCATAAGGGCGGATGTTCCTCAGGGAAGCATACTTGGCCCTTTTCTATTTTCCATATACACTGCAGATATTCCTACACACGTTAACATTTCGACAACCATTCGCTGATGATACAGTGATTCTTACACGCAATTCAGAACTCTCAATTAACACTCAACATTTACAACACCTGAATGAACAATGTGTTTCACAAAGTGGAGAATAAAGGTAAACCTAACAAAAAGCACACAAATGAATTTTACCTTACATAAAAATGTCTGTCCTGCGGTGAGTATAAATGGAATTCCATTGCCTACCACTGACCTTGTGCGTTATCTTGGACTTTTCATGGATAAACGACTGACTTGGAATCCTCGAGACTAAAAAGTCAGCAATCAGACCGACGTTATAAAGTATTAAAAAGACTACTCGACTCATGATCAAAATTAGACCTTGAAAATAAATTTTTAATTTACAAGACAATTATTAGACCTCTCTGGGCGTACAGTTGTGAAGTGTGGGGCTCAACCAAGGATTCCAATTCCCAGCGTCTCCAATCAATCCAATCTAAAATTCTCCGTCAAATTATAAATGCTCCTTTTTACGTTTCAAATTACACTATCCATAAAGACCTACACATCTCGTTTGTACATGAACTTATCAAAACCCGATATAACAAATTTCATCAATCACTGAACACACACAGTAATCTATTTGTACAAAATTTATCACTTCCAACCCTACCTGAAAATCCTCCAAGACAATTGAAGCGAAAGTGGCCCCGAGACCTTCTCAAGACTGAACAAGATATTAGTGTGAAGGAGTGTTACCACTGGGCAACTTCTCCTACAAGAGCCTCAAATGATAATTCAACATATATGAACATATTTACTTAATACATCACTTGTAGTTGTAAATACCAAATAAATGTAATATAAAAAAAAATTATCATAAGAGGGAAAGGAATTTATATCAATTTTGTTGAGATATAAGAATCTTAATCCTACATTATATGGAACGTTTACTTTAGGAACAATAAATTTTATTAACACATTGGTTTTTGTAGTGTAATTGAAATTCATAATAGATAAAAGTTTATGCTTACAAATACGAAGACAAGAGTATATCATAAATAATTGTATGACTTTTAACTAAAAATCAATGTAAAGTTGTTTTGTGTTGTATCTTCTATGTTTATTTAACAATATTTTTTTAAAGAAATTTGAGCAATTGAAGAAATTGTAGATTTTACGGTACCACCATAAACTAAGATCCCATATGTTATCAAGGATTGTGCTAATGCAAAATAAACAGTCCTCATTAAATCTAGCTGAAGAATGTTTCTTAAACTTTATAAAATAATTTTCTAAATGGTTAGGGACGCACATGCCGTACTATCCACCTTCAAGAAGGAAAAATCATAAGTTAAACTGTTGAGGTCGAAATATAAGAAAACATCGTTAATTTCCTAAACTTTTTTACCAAAGCACCAATATGAAACTTAGTTTACTTTATTATCAAAAATTATTCCCAAATATTTAACTTTTTTAGAATAGGGTATAATTGGGCAATTACAGTTAAATGAATTTATTCAAAAATGTAATACTGTTCTCATTTAAGATGCTTTGATTTGAGAGACTAAATTTAATGATTTTAGTTTTAAGTGTGTTTAAAAGTAAGAAATTACATATTTATTTTGAATAATATAAATAAGGTGCTAATAAACCATTACTCAAAATAAATATTTCATAGAAAACTTGGCATAATTCAACGAAATGATTTAGTAAGAAATTACTATCTAACCATTTTTGAATTACTACTATTTCAACATTAATATTTTTAATTATTCACAAATCATGAGGTGTGGTCTGGTGTGAATAATCTAACGAATTCTGAATAATTATCGATTAACGGTCATTAATCACCACACATTAATATTTTTTATTATATCATCATAATTCTTGCCAGAAAAAAAGGTATAGTTGTATCGTCAGCATATCCCAATATTTTAGCTGAAAGTTTTAGTTGAAGTCATTAATGTCAATTAAAAATAGTATAAAGCCTAACACACTTCTCTGTGGAACACCACAATTAATAAAAATAATATATTTCAACTTATGTTTCAAGAGTTAAACAAATCTAACTACCCAAAATGACTACATAAGAAATATAAATCGACCAACAATTTAAATGATTACATTAAATTCAAAAACTTGCAAATGCAAAAATCTAACTAAACAATGTTACCTGGAGTATATTGAGACCCTCAGTCAATTACTAAAGGTTATAGCAATTTCTGGAAATATGTAAATTCAAAATCCAATTCTAACCATTATTCCGCCATAATGAAAACACTGGCGCACAGATAGCTGATGCCTTCTCATATCTATTTTACACTTCTGGTGTAAATAATGTTTCCACTCTTCACTCACCCAATGAAAATTAACTACTTAATAGTAAATTTCAGTCGTTAGTAACTTAAAAAACTAAACTCTCAAGTCTAATAACCTGCTGTTCCAGATGATATCCCTGCCATTTTCCTAAATTAAAAAAAAAAAAAAACTGTAGTTCCTCCATAATTATGCCTCAATCTTATTCAACAAATCAATTGAAACATGCATATTTCTTGATGTGTGTAAATTGTCTTACATTGTCCCATCTTTAAATCCAGCGGCTAATCTGTAGTATCTAATTACCGCCCCATTTCCAAACTTCACATGTAGGCAAACTGTTTGAATAATCAGGTTGTTACATGTTAAAGCCCTTCTTTATGTCAGGAATTACCTAATTTAATTCTGACCAAAAAGTCATCGCAAGTATATTCCTCTTGCTTTGTTCTTTTCATTCGATTTTCATCTACAAATTGCATTTGGAAATTTATTCAGAAAGGATAAATGATTCAACAGTTTGTTTTACAAGTTTGATTTATGAATTTTACAGGCGTCATTTTACTTCAAGGTAGCAGAAAACTTTATTTTCCTTAGCCAATATTTAATAAAGTTAAAATTCCTCCAAAAATCAAAAATAGAAAAGCAACCTAAGAAAGGAAGAAAATTTTAGCTCGTATATGTATAATTTTAAATATAAGATTATTGTTAATAATAAATTAACTCAAACAAGATATAAAGTGTCGTTTTTGAAAGAAAAAAAAATCTTTAAATACATTGGGTTCAAATTCCCTTTGATATATCATTGCTTTCAAGGCCTAAACTGTTGCAGCCAATGACACCCCCAGCCAATTTTTAAAATATTTGTCCATTCTATTTTTTTCTGCCCAGGACTTCAGTGAGAAAAATGTGGTTATCCCACAGACACTGAAGATGATAAAACGCCTGTTAGACAAAAATAACAACAATTTAGACGCAAGCAAACCGAGACGATCAGAGACAGCCTGATGTCAAACTCACTCATCACCTCGCGGAATTCGATTCTTCAATTTGTTACTTATTTGATAAATGAAAATAGGCAGAGTTGTACAGAACAAACTGATTGGTATATTTCAACGATATAAAAGTAAAACTCCTGTCAAACTGAACAGCTTAACATTCAGTCTACCCATTGAGTCACGGATGAGGGGTCAAACCACTTCATAATACTTTTTGCATATTATTCTCAATTAAAATCTCATAATATATACCAGGATTTGAACACAGAACCTCTAGCAAATATGATCAGACCCCCAACCACTTTGTCACTATAGTGCATCCCCCATTTCAAGCACACATAAATTAATTAATCAAATTGCTTTCATAAATAATATATTTTTATTTATTTATAGTGGCAATAATATAATAATAATAATAATGTCCCAATTAACAAAGCACAAAATCAAAGCCTTTACAAACTGCATTCCACATATTCGTAGCATTGTCGAGGACAAGGAGTTCTGTAGTGTCGGTGTATTATTTTATCTGCACAGTTTCAGCCATACAAAAAAAAAAATTTCTGTGAAATTTTCCATTGGTGTGAGCAGTGCATGAAAACTTGAACATATTAGCACAAAATGAGTGTGAAATTATCTTCCCCTGGATTCCGGGTCACGTCAGCCTTAAAGGGAACGAAGAGGCTGACAGAGGCAAAAGAAACTTCAAAAATGCTGCATGAACTGGACACTGGTTAGTCCGGCAGATATTAAAAATTCCTTGAAACAATTAAGCTGGAATGAATGGCAAAACTGATGGAACACCCTGAATGAAAAACTAAAGGTGCTAAAACCGAGTGAAATTTGTAAATACCGTTTGAATGTATTTATTAGTGTGAAAGAAAGGAGGCCGCAAGATCATGATAATCTTCCAACCTCCAATTTAGTTGTAGTGAAGGTTAGTAAATTAGTAAGAATGTGAATTATGAAATGTTATAAATATTATATCTATGTATTTTAATTTATGACGTGTGGGAGGGAAACAACAAAGATAACAAATCTCCTATCAGGTGAATTAGGTGAATCGGAAGGCAACAGTCGTTTAGTTGGGGATAAGAGAACTTAGAAAAGAATGTACACGACAAATGTGAGAAGGCTATATATGTGAGGTGCCGGCAATGACCCTGGAAGTTAGTCAGCAAAAAAAAAAAAAACAATTAAAACACAAATTGTAAATTTTAAAATATATTTACAATAAAATATAATACAAAAGTATATATAATAGTGACTTGTAAATGAAATTATTCGTGTACGGTTTGAAGCTTGGGTTTTTCTTTTTCTTTTTTAGCCTTTTTTACCCTAGAAACAAATTCTGTAAAGCTTTCATGCTCCAATTTTTCATTTGCAACCTCTGCCGACAATTCTTCTCCTTCTGAATCCGAGCTGTCATCGTTGTCTGGCCTCAAAAAGATTTCGGATAAATGAACACCTGCAAAAGAATAAAATATTTATTATTTTAAAATAAATAACAAACTAGAAAATAAGCGGAAAAAATTTACCAGAAGAGACTGAGCTTATTAGATTAACTTCTTCACCCTGACTGGAGGTTCCTTTCTTTGATTCGTTATCTTTCTTTTGCTGCAGCTCGTCTTCTTTTTCCTTTTTCTTATTGTTGTATATTTGTTGGAACTCCTTTTCGGCTTCATTCAGCGCTTTCATCACTTCCTCGAATCCTTGACCAGTGAGTGAAGAAAATCCAGCAACCTTTAAATCCCTGTAGAAATCATCCAATGCAAGCGCCATCGATCTAAAAAAGTAAAAACATATATAATGTTAATTAATTAATTTCTTACCATAATTACCTCGTGAGATTTGAAGCGTAAGATGTTTCGGATTCTAAGGCTTCCTCAAAAGATTCAAAGTCTCTCATCCATTCCAGTACAAATTCATGAGAAACGACATCGATTTTATTCATAACGACAACAAACGGGAGTTGTGACTTGTAAAGTATAGAGCAAGCGTAAAGCATGTTAGACATAAAAGTGACAGGCTTTACACTGCGAACTGTATCCATGACATAGACAATAACAGTTGGAAAAGTAGATGACAGTGTTTCAGTTATGATGTTTCCTGACGCTGACCAGGTGAAAACTTCTATCTGCCCAGGTGTGTCAAATATGTAATACCTGAAAAGTAAAACATATCAATGACATTTTCAAACATTAACAATTTCATGTACATACTTGTGTTTCCCCTCGTTTTTCTTCATGAGCGCGAGGAGCTGGTTGAACTTGGTCGAAAAGAGATTGAGCGAAGTGACGATTGCTCCATTAGGACCAAGGCCGTATTGTTTCATCACTTCTTTATAATTTACGACATCCCTGATGTCGACGTTGGCAGGATAAGGTACTTCGAGGCAGGCGGGATCCAAATTAATAACGTACGGTGGGACCACCGAAGAATATAGCTTGTTAGTAAGCTTGCTCACGAATGTCGTTTTACCTGATCCTGCCATTCCAAGGACAATTATGCACGTCGGATTTATTCGTTCCTCTTCCACTTCCATGATTTAAAAATTACCACAATTATTCTTTGTATAAATAAAATTACCAAGAGTCACCACAAACGTTGTAGCTGTTGATCCTCATAACCAGGAATTAACCTTTCATTTACTGTCACGTGATAGAGGCTTTGAGATTCCCACGCTTGCCCTTCTGTAAAGTGTAAACATTTCTAGATCAAAAAGTAAAGAAATTAGCACTGGGAGTTGAACATAAACATTGTATTTAAAATCCTTCATCATGATTGATATTGAGGAAATGATAAGGGAGATTAAAAGGAAGGACAAAGAGGAATCCAAGTCCTTAAACGATTTTCTACCTCTAGAGAAGAGATACAAATCCTATACTCAGCAGAGAGAAGAAGTATTTAAAGACAAAGAGCGTAGGAAGGATGGAAGGAAGGACAATGATCACAGAAAAATATGTAAGCATGTTTTACCTACATAAAATCCAGTCATCATTTTTTTCCAAAGAATTAAGAGTATATTTCTTTACTGTAATAATAAACAACAAAAACCCAAACATTTGTATTTATTTGTACATTTTTCAAAATAACCCGGTATAAAGATTAATAGTTGACTTAAAAAGTAACGTTAATAACTGCATCATGAGGGGAGACCTGATGAAGCGCACACGATTGCCCATATTGGTTGCCCGCATCAGATGGGGAGTAGAGGAGGATGTCTCTTTCATATTAATTACCTGTGTCATAAGGCGCATACTAAGCAAATCCTGGTCAATGAAAGACAACCAATATACATCGGTCACCGACACATTGGCTATCCTTATCAAAACAAGGGGTTGGGGCCATGTGGAAAAGCAGTCAACATCAATCCTTTTAACGTTAGTGCCAGAAGATTGAACCTCAGTCAAGGATAACCGCTTCATTGGCTCCGACTCCCATGCACACTAAGCAAATCAACAAAGTGGTTGGTTGTAATTCGTTGGCCAAAAATTGCTTAGTGCGTACCTTTATGTGAGGGAATGTGCCGCCTTCATTCAGATCCCTCCAGACAGGAGTTCAAATCAACCTGGGTTGCATTGCAAACCTGGACAGGCTGGACTGCCACCCCCATCCCCTGAATATTCCACAATTTCCAAAGTTAAATATTCATTTCAGATTCTAAAAGGAGATATTGACGGAATTCAGAAATGTGTATAGCAAATCAAAAACTGCTAGCTCATTATAGGTTAATAGTGTGTCTAAGCTTATTGTAATACTTTCCATAGGGTATAAGTCCTTTTAAAAATTGTTTTCTTTGGTTTTCGAAATATGGGCATTCTAGAATGATGTGACTAGAACTCATTATGGAGTAACAAGTTGGTAATGGTGCTGATCCTATTCTAAAAAGATACCCCTCCCCAGAGGCCATGGCTTGTCTTCTTTCTGAAGATATAAGAGAAAAATGGTTTGGCCTACCGCCCTTCAAAAACCACATTTTTTTTGGGGGGGGGAACAATAGTCTTGCTGAATCATAATTCTTCTACCAAAGGTTGCAACATATCCTTTTTAAAAAGATTGAACACCGCACTCACTCCACCATTCTTCATTTCTAAGGTTGCAGCATATACAATTAATTTTTTTTTGGCAATTTTACATCATTAGGAATTTTTATATTACAAGGTACTCCTGATGACGTGGCTTCAATGACCAATGTATCAACGGTTTCATTTTCTGTATACCAGCATGGCCTTTTATCCAACCAATTACCAGGTTTTACCCATGATTTTGAACTCATGAATTTTGTATAAATATTGGCTATGATATAATTATTACACCCACCTTTATAGGAAAAATTTCAATTTTTTTACACTGTGCTATAAAAAATTTAGTTTCCCTCTTGCTTAAAAGTATAAATTTCGTTGTAAGGGTTTATTTAGCAGTAGTCGAATTGTTAGAGCACCAAACTCTTTGTTTGTAAATCCCACTGTCATGGGTTTGATTTCCGTCACCCCTGGTATTTTTAACCCAACCTCCTTACACCAAAAGGAGAATAAAATTATAATTTCTAATATAACAGCTTACAGATGGTTTTTTGTTTCAGTCATACAACTTGGAACTGTTTCTGATGCTAGGGGATCTTGCTATGTGGAACTGGGTGACACTAAAGTTATTCTCAGTATCCGAGGGCCGAAAGAAATCCCTAACATCCAGGAATATACTGAGCTCTGTGCATTAGAGTGTCTTGTCGAATATGCGCCATTTGTCAAAAAGCCGACGTCCGATGAGGGTTTTATGGCTGAGGCGTTGAGACTCGCATTAGAACCTGTGCTTTGTCGGGTAAATTGACAAATTGGTTTTATTATTTCACAATTATTTATTTGAATACTTTTTGCAGCATGAGTTTCCTAATTTGCAAATCACAGTAAGTGCATTTATAATCGAAGACGGTGGATCGGCTTTAGCAGCGGCAATTACTGCAGCAAGTCTTGCCATGACACAGGCTCGTCTTCCAACCTTTGGTGTTGTTACAGCAGTCACAGTGGTAAAACATTATCAACGTTGGATTTGTTTTTACCTTTAAAACATATAAATCATGTTTCCAGGGAATACACAACAATAGAGTAATAGTAGATCCATCAAAATTGGAAGAAGACTTTTGTAGCAATCCTTACGATGCCAAATCTGTAAAAAATTTCGGGCTCATAACAATCGCCTATATGAACGACCTTAAACAAGTTTGTTCTAAAATTTTTATCCTCTATAATTCATTTTTAGCATGGAATGTAATGAAATTTACTATATATTTTAGATTACTCTTTATCAGATGAATGGAACTGCAAAACCTAGCCTTTTGGATCAAGTTCTGCAGGGTATGTTAAATCGTTGCCAAGAACTGCACAAACTTTGTGCTCAGCATTTGATGAGAGAATTGAAACTGTCAGCCAAGCACATAATAGATACCGCTCAGGCAAGAGCAGCGGTAGAAACATTAAACCTTAACGGATAAATATGAACTTAAAAACAATTAAAGCATTTGTACAGTTTTTTACCTTTATTTATTGTTTAATGTCAATTTTATCAGACAGCATTTATCCTTTTATTGCCTTAAATTTAGTCTAATTAAACATTCATTGGCTATGCAGGAATTCGAACCCAGGACTGCTAGCATGGCAGGTTATTTTACTTCTTCCTGGCCCCATTTCTGGGAGCTTGAACATGTATGAAGTGAACCCCCAGTGTTCTTCCATCGAAGAAAGTAATTTTCAAAGGTGGCCAGAACAAAATTCAGTGTCACCGAGATCCGATCCTGCCTCACATCTTTCATTGATAAGTGCCAGTCAGTATTCATTCCACCGGTCCACTTAGGGGTCAGAAAAAAAAGAACAGAGGCAACAATCTGAATTGAATCAACGGTCATGGGATCTACTAGCAGCAGAATCTGACTCCTTAACCACTAGTCTACTGCGGTCCCCATCCATTATGTCAGTCATTGGTGTGAAGGGAGAGTTTATCAAGAAACCTAGAATTCGGCAAGGATTAATTTATTTAAAAATGGTATTTTGAGGTCGATGTGGAGGGCGGTATTGAAGACAGTAAGGAGTATTGTCTCGTTCTGAGATGTTGGGATTGGAACGACTGAATTCTTTGGATAGGAAACTAATTCATACTGCAGGTTCATCACCACATTTTAAAAAAATGTCTCCCAAATAAATATGTTGATAATATGTTCTTTTTTAAACTGAAACTTGAATTTGGTGGAAAAGCACTGAATTCTGTATGAAAAGGAATCTTCTGATTTTTTTCTAAGACTAGTTTTTTTATTTGATATATTTTGTTACAATACTTAGTTTTAACAATTTTTTTTAACGGTAAACGCTTATAAAAAGGTTCTTGTGTGAACATACACGACAATTAAAAAATATACAATAAAAATTAGCACAATTTACAAAAAAAAAAACGGTCTTTGTTCAGTTCACAAATTAGTCTTCAGGCTTTTCAGGTGGAGGTCCGCACGGCTGCAGCATCTTCTCCATCAGGTTGAACCTTATCCTCGCCTTCGCCTCGTTTTCAGCTATGGCAAAGAAGTTGAGGATGTCGAAGTGGCCGACGTAGCTCGAGTAGCTGTCCCGGTGCTGGTTTACGAGCCATTCGTATTTAATCGTGTCCGCGTGGCCAGTTCCTATATACTTGGACTGCAAATGTTCCAACTGGCTGTGGATGTTGTATCTGTCACCCATAGTTACACGGATAGATACAATTTGAAGCTTGTGTCCGGCTCAGTGAGTAACCTACCACTAGACAGTAGACACTAATCAGTAACCACTATGCCACTTTCAACTTTACAGACGGCAACTTACAAAACCGACGAATTTTATATTAAAAACAAAAACCTTATATGTTTTAAACAAACTTAATCGTACTACTTAAACGCCAAGAATTAATAATTATCGTCTGTAAATAACTACGAATTGGTTTTATTTGCGATTTAGTTATCACTGATTTCCGTTTAGTCCGCAATTCAGCCACGTTTCCTCTAAGCCTTAACCATTTTTCCATTCCGGTAGGAGATCGTCTTACGGTAAGTGTTCTTATCGGGCCGTAAGACAACTTCGTAAATTTCATCTAATCTATTCATAAAAAATGACGTAAGTATACTTATTTTGCATATAATATGTTTATGTACTTATTTTTTAACATTTCAATAAAATAACATACTTGTAAAAGTTGCCTATTTGTGAACTCGCTTTGGGTTATATATTACTGGAGCATCTTGAAACATTTATGCACTCTGTTTTTTTGTTTATTATTAAAAAAAGATCATTATTCGAAGTGGAAGAAATGTATTAGTCACATATTTAACCTTTGTATGGAATATTGAGTTATCTGGAGAAAGTGGACCACGTGGTTTCCATTTTCTCCATGCTAATCGGCTAGCCCAGCTATGAATTTTTAAGCTATAATTTTGTCCTGTCTCATGTTAGTACTAAAAAGTCTAAAGTAAAGGTGGTTTAAACAATTAAGAAGTTAGGTGTGAAGTACTGTGCTTATTGAAATAAGCCTTAGCCTCATACAAACTAGGCCTGGGAATGGTCCTTGATTGTAGTAAACCGATTTTCTAGGCATCTCAAAAAAAAAAGTGCAATAAAAACTTATTTAGTGACCGATTCAAAAATTGTGGAAGTTGGTCATTAGGTGCGGTCATGAATGATGTATTTTAACGTGGCTACAGACATGCTGTATTAGCTGGTTGCTGTAGAATATGTGCCAAGTCTCGAGATGCTCGTCCTGGCGTTTGCCAAATAGTGTGCGCATAGACACATGCGAGGTTTGTACTACCACCTAGTTTGTGTGGAAATGGTGAATATGTTGGTCAAGTGCCTTGTGAATAAATGACTTAACTTCCAGTCATGAGGTCAACAGTGAAACAGTCATTGCTGTAGCTGCAATTCTGTTTTGTAACCACTACAAACTCAGTCACAAAGTCATCAAAAATCTCGTTAAACAACCATTCCAAAATATTGATTCAGCTTTGTACAGATGGAGGAACTCCAAGACTGTTACGTTGGGCTAGGCCTAACCAACAGAAACAATGCTTTTTTTCATTAATATGTCTATACTAGCCGCAAGTAGTAATAAATAGAAATGAAAACTTACTGTTAATTGAAAATTTCAGTAGATTTACATTTCCTGAATGCTTTGCAAATGCACTTCGAAGCGGATGAGAAAGCTGAGCAAGGCAAGCACCGAATATTATCAGCGAATAACCAATCACCTGTCCCCACTAATCTGTATTTGGTGATTCCCAAGTCTGGAGACACCTTTAGAAAAACGTGTTATTCATTTTTTGCCGACCTTTATAGGGTCAGGGCCTGAGTGAATTACAAAACATGTTGGTTGGAAAAAATACACACTGATGTCAATATAAATTTTGAATTAAGTATTTAATGCTCACATAATGTGTCGTGCTATTTTTGTGGTGTTATATTTGTTTCATGTGAAATTGTTTTGAAACATGCATTTGAATATAGTATTTTTTATTTTTTTAGTAAAAAGTTGGAATTCCAGTTAATTTATATTTGAGGTTGTGTTGGGCCAAAATTTTTTGTTTGTCTAGACATTCCATTGCCTATAGTTTCATGATTTAAAATAAGAGGAAGGGGGTCAGAAGTTTTATTTTAACATTTGGATAATTTGTAAGGGTGTTTCTCTTGCTGTTCTTAGCACAATTGTTTTTTTTGTAAAGAAATCTATTTCATCTGTAGGTTATTTGAAACTTTTTAGTTCTCGCAAAACATTACTATTTAGTATGAGGTGTTTAGTGACTGTTAGTTAATGATTATTTGGAGATCGTGGGATGTGGTCTGGTATGACGTAGGTTTAGAAAAACATTTTCTTTATCGTGCCAATGTTTCGATCTTTATTAAGATCATATTCAGGGCCCAAAGTGTTTGAGTGGGCACTCTCAACTTGACACACAATAATGTCACGTCTACACAGAAAAACACTTTGAGTTCTGAAGATGTCTCAATAAAGATTGAAACGTTGACATGATAAAGAAAATGTTTTTCTAAACCTACGTCACACCAGACTGCATCTCATAATCTCCAAATAATCATTACTATCAAGGAATTTACATGAAGTAATTAAACCTTCTCTTGGCAGTGAGGAAAGCATTACCTACTTCACATGGAAATCATCAGCTTAAAATACTTGCCTTCTAATGGCCTAGATAAAAATTGTTAATAAGTACTACATTTTGTAAATATATTTTTTGGCATTTGTTGTCAACAGGTCAAAAGTATCAAAGGATACTCTTTACGAGTGTGTCAACGCTGTGTTGACTCATGCGCAGGAGAAGAAGAGGAATTTCGTTGAGACTGTCGAAATCCAAGTCGGTCTCAAAAATTACGATCCTCAGAAGGACAAACGTTTCTCGGGAACTGTCAAGTATGTCATGTTTCTACTTAACACCTAGCATTATGAGCCTTATCTTCTGTTGAACATTACTGAAACGAATTTGTTAATTATTTAAGCTCGTTTTATATGGAAAATAGGGTTCTAATGCTTAGGTAGTCTAGTCTTACTAGACGGACCCCTACCCAGGGTCTTAAATCTTTGGGGAGGGCAATCGCCCGATAAATTTTAAGACAGTTCTTACGGATATGCGTGAGTAAATCTGGATTTTCTAAACTATACATTAAAAAATTATTAAGTAGTAGATTTAAGATTTGACAACACTATAAATTGGTTTTTACCATCAGGTTGAAGCATATTCCAAGGCCAAAAATGCAAGTTTGCATGCTTGGTGATCAACAGCATTGTGATGAAGCGCAGGCTAACAATGTGCCGTTCATGGATGTAGAGGCATTGAAAAAGTTGAATAAAAACAAAAAGTTAGTAAAGAAACTTGCCAAGAAATACGACGCTTTTTTGGCCAGTGAAGCCCTGATTAAGCAGATTCCCCGTCTCCTCGGTCCTGGTCTCAACAAAGCGGGCAAGTTCCCTGGTCTACTCTCCCACCAGGAGTCCATGATTCAGAAAATTGATGAAGTCAAAGCCACCATCAAGTTCCAAATGAAAAAGGTATACAAAATCATTTATTTAAAGTGTATGTATTTTTATTTCTATTTTTGTCCCCAGGTATTGTGCCTTTCCGTTGCTGTCGGCCATGTTGGTATGACCGCTGATGAATTAGTACAAAATGTCCACCTTGCAGTTAACTTCCTTGTTTCTCTATTGAAGAAACATTGGCAGAACGTAAGGTCTCTCCATGTTAAATCAACAATGGGGCCTCCTCAGAGATTGTACTAATTTCTTGCAGAAAATAAATCTGTTTTTACCTTAATTTTAGTTTTAATATTTACTTTATTTCTACTCGCACTCCTTTTTACACTTTCAATTATTAATTTTTACAGTCCTTACTTTTTTCTTTTTTTTTTCTTTTAAGAAGTATTCAGCAAAGTCTACTTATTTGTTGAATAAAATCATTTGCAGGAGCTTTCATTTTTTATTAGTCATCGGTTTACTTCATCATTTCGTCTTAACTCACGAATTCTTTCTCGTATTTCATCAAAAATAGCTATTAAAAAAGCAATGTTAAAAATTATATTTTTTGTTTATATCGTTGTAGGATGACTGTTATTAGTGGTTCAATACATTTTTCTATGCTTTTGGTTAATGGTTGCCACGACTCAACTGCAGAAGGGATTATGGTTAAATTCTCCTGATTTATCGCTGTATATATTTATCAGGGATGAAAGATAAAGTACGTTATATCGCCGCCACCATGTTCACTATATCAAGGGTAAATAAGATATTGAAAGTTTTAATTTTTTGTAATGTGTATCGTTTATACATACATATGTATGTAAAGAAAGCATTTTTTTATTATTTTATTTTTATAAACACTATTTGTATTAATATTATTGTATTAACACTCAAAACTTTTTCTTCCAGTTCTTCACCATCCACTTCTGTTACAGTGAAAATTTCATCGTCATTAAAAATTCCAGTAACTGCAACATATAAAACAAAAATAATGAATTACTGAAAAATGACAGGATTTTTTTCATTTTGTGACATGACATCCGAAGGCATAATTTCATTTTCCCGTTCTATAGCTAACGTTCTAAAACAATTTTTTATTTGTGGTTGCTTTTCTTTTTTTTATGCTTTAGTATATTCATCGCAGTGTGATTTATCTTGAGTCAGTGGCTTTGTGTGTAACAAACAAAATCTTAGAAACACACCACTGGTCGGTCACAGTAGACAATCCATCCTTATAAGTATTGTAAGTTTAATTAGGATTTCATTGCTAAAATTCGAATCGTAAGATATTTTGTCGACCTTAAAGGCAGAAAAAATATGTTGCTCTGAGGGGACTGAAATGCATTGGTATTATATGATTTAATGAGTTTTTCAAGGGACCAGTACTTTCGTATGATAGTTCGGGATATACAAAATATCAAGATTTTATTGTACTTCCTTTTAATCATGCAATAGGATCTTCATAATTTTTTATTTATTTATTTTTTAATAGTCTTATGATCGATGCATATTCCAAGGAGACAATTATTATGCATATGTATGTTGGGGGGGATCTTGAAAAGAAGGTGGTGGTGGGAATTGAACCTACAACCGCAGGGTCTATGACCTGAGTCATGCTAACCACTTGGGTATCGTGGTCTCCCATGGTATTTGTTGACGACGTCCAAATTGTTTAGTTCTTTCATGATGAACAAAAACAAAATGGTGATGGATACTAGGCTGATTTTAATCACCTACCATAAAACATTTAGGTAGAAGGCAGCTGAAGTAAATGCCATGACAGTCTTGATAAGTATTTACGGATAATGGTAGTTTTATGGATTTCTTAAAGATTCTCCATAAATGGATAAGGTGGTAATGGAAGTTGTTCACTTTTGGTAATGCTGCTGATTTTATGATGAGGTTATTTATTGAACATCCCAACCGCTATTTACTTTTTATTGCTTATTAGGCTTGTTAAGTTTAGAACATATAACTATATTATAATTTTAAAATATTTTGTTTACAAAATGTGTCTGGGGAAGAAATTCTTTTTCACACTATTGAACAAATTTATTAAGACATTTTTTAAAAAGAAGATAAGGTTCTTGAGCATGGTGTGTTTCCTAGGAGAAACTTTTTTTTCAGAAGTTTATCCAGTTCTTTCAACCCGGGTAAAGGGATAAGAGGATTTTTATAATCTAAAAAAAATGGTTTTCTTTGAACAATTTTTGTTTGAATTTTGAAACATTTTATTTTCATCTGCAGTTGAAAAATGCTTCCCAATGCGGTGCATGTTATTATATTTCATATGCGGATTATTATGTGTATAATTCCGTAGAATTGTGGTCTAACACTATATTCTGAAAATGATTACACCTTCCTACTTTTTTTAATATTCTATGTATTTACGAATTACACGCTCTTATGTTTGATGGTTTAAATTTATTATTTTGTTTATTTTAATTAATAGATGTTAGTTATGAATACACATTTTGAGGTTCTGGGTACAAAGGAAAAAATAAAAGCAATGAAAATGTATCAATATTTTAATTATTATGAATACAATTTGCATTAAATGAAAAAACGTTTAATTTAAAAGAAAAAGTACAAAAATTAATCCTAAAGGCAGTTGAATGTAGCTGATTAGTTTGTATGTCTTTTCATGAAAGACAATTGACTAGCTATTTACACAAATTAACAATTGTTTTAATGAGTAAACTTATTTTTAAAATAGACAAATTTAAGATAAATAAAGTGCGAAATATCGACTTCGGATTAGCCAGCATCTGGCTTACTCATATCAATTTAATTTGATTTATCTGATTCATTAAAAATAAGTCTTTCCATTAACTAGTCTTCATTAGCTACAACCTTAACAATTATTTAACTATACTTTCATACAGTATTTACATTGTGAGTTACAACAAATATGAGAAGACTCAACATTTGTACACTTTTCTTACCTAATTCCACTATAATATAATAAATTTTAAATATATATATTTTTTTAAAGTGCAAAACCTTATAATTAAAAGAAATAAATTAATGTTCCGTGTCCTATTTACAGTATTTTCTCTCACTATTGCTTTCATTTGCAACTCATCTGTAAAATAATAATCGTTTAATCCCCAACACCATTTCCAAAGTTATGATACAAACGAGGCGGTTAAGCCATTCCTATTAAAAATAAATTAAATAAAAACTTTTTTTTCATAACCAATCATTTACTTAGAATGCATAATCAAAGCGATAGTAAAGAGAAAAATAATTAGCGCATATTTTTTTTAAAAGGAATTCTCGTTTTCCGTTTGTTTTAAAAACTTTTTTGGTATTCAGCGGTATTACTCTACTTTTTCAACTGGACCAGGTGGTAAAATTGGCTTGAACCCCCCGAACAACTGAGGCTTGAAATTTTGAGCGTCGAAGGGTTGTTCTTCGGTCGTCTCTTGAGCAGGGGTCGTGGTTTGTTGAGCGGTTGAGATTTCGTTCTCAGTTCCCTTTTGTACTACGCTCCAACCCCTGTTGGGGGCAGTGAGAGAAGCTTGAAAAGGGGCTTGAAAATCCAAAGGCGTAGGTCGAGAATCCTGAGGTTTGTGATTTGTCGCCGGAGAAGCGGTCACCACTGTGGTTTTTGTGTTCAAAGTGACCGAAATCGGTTTGTTTTCCGATCCGACGGGCCATTGGGGTTCTTTCGGTAGCGGTTTCTTTGTAGCAAAAGGCATGTAGTCTTGTAAATATGGAATAACATTGATTTCTGCTATATCTTTCTCCACTGTAGACACAGTTGGGCTGAATGCTGAATATTCCTTTGCAGGAGGAGATTTGGTGCTCACGCTCTCTTCTTCCACAGGCAACGGTTTTACGAGTGGATAAGGAAAATCATTTTTGACGGGAGGCTTATTTGGTTTGCTTTTAAGAATGGGTGTGTCGATTCTGGATTTGAACCCTTCACTCTCTAATGGGAAGGAGTCTAGCTGGTCGTTCAGGTTGAGATTGTCGGGAGGAAGAGGCCTTTGAGGCCCTCTCGTTCCAACGACTACGCCTTCTCCTCCGTTGCTCGGGTATACCACAAAAACAGGCTCTTCTTTGTCTTCCGCTCTCAGGACGCCTCGTGGTGGGTTGGGCATCATTTGTAATGTTGTCACATGGTTGCTTTGTCCGTTTCTCCTATGCACTGAAGGTTCTTCGGCGCGCAAGAACTCCGGCTTAGGTAGTGGAGGAGGCTGGAGAGTATCCAACGGTTCTCTTACGAAATGCACATGAGGCTCAGCATGCCCTATTTTCGCGTTGGGTCTGAATTGTGGAAGGATGTTCGGAAGATTGCTAGGAGGTTTGGGGTGCTTTTGCTGGTGATCCCATTGTGGCCTTGGTAATTTCTTGACATGCTCTTCTTGAGGGAATTGCACTTGTCCGACGTTCCCATCTGATGAAGGCAGAACGCCTATGGAAAAGGACGTCTGTAACGAATAGCTAGGATTCTCTTGTCCTGGAGAGATTTTGATAAAGTGGGATTGAGCTTTCGTGGGCTGAGATTGATCTCCTACACTTACCGCTTCTACACTGCCTACAGCCTGGGCTGTTGATTCCGCAACTTTCTTGTTATGATCTTTTTCTTGAGGTTTGCTGGCGAAGAAGCTGTACGGGGGTTTCGTGGGTTTGATGTTATGCAGAGCAGGTCTGGCTGGCCAACCATTTCCATCGTTTTCTTGATTTCTTGTGGGGTTGGGGTACGGCCTGTCTGGTTCTGATTGCCACGGTGGTAAATGTGGGTAGGGCAATGGTTTTTGAGGGAACGTCACACCTTGGTTAGGTCTGACAGGATGATGCGCGTTCAAATAAAGTTTATTGTTAGCCGGTTTTCCGTCTTGAGGTCTTGGGTGTAGTTGATACTGTGTCTCTTGTGCTCCTTGTTGTGGGACATTAGACGGACCATTATATTGTTGATTTGGTATAGGCGGGTAGATATTAGGATGTGGCCTAGAATTAGCCGATTCTTGATTTAGTCGGTGTGGTTTTACATCTTGAGGTGGTCTCTGGAGGTAGTGATGCGGTCCGGACGGAGGTCTCTTATTTAAATGCTCCTGCTGTTCTGAATGATGAACATTAGAAGGGACATTATGTTGATACCCATTAGGGTACTGCTGCGGCCTTACGTTCGACGGTTCTGGATGCGGACGCAGAGGTGGACGCACAGGCGGTCTTAGATGGAAAAGTTGAGGGACTGATAGGGGATTGTCATTGTCCGAAGGTTTTTCATGTGTAACACCGGGTTGGTTTTCGAAAGGCCTTACAGGGTTAGGAATCCCTGGCGGTTTCAAGGAACCGTCAAATGGAGGTTTAATGGGGTTGGGAATATTCGGTGGTTTCAATGGATTTTCAAAAGGTGGTTTAATAGGGTTGGGAATATTCGGTGGTTTCAAGGGATTTTCAAAAGGTGGTTTAATAGGGTTCGGGATGCCCGGTGGTTTGAAGGGTATCTCGAAAGGCGGTTTCACGGGGTTCGGAAGGCCAGGCGGTTTAAAAGAAATCTGGAAAGGTGGTTTCAACGGATTTTGATTTCCAGTCGGTTTGACAAAATCGTCGACTCCAACCGGTTTTGGATGACTCAGTGTTTCTGATGACTTCAAATCATCCCCTTGTGGCTTAGTAGGACTTTGATTTTCGATTCCCGATTCGGCCACATCGTGTTTAGACGGGATTTTTTCTGTAGCTGGTGCTTTCGTTGGTTTGTGAGTTGTCGTACTTTCGTAAGTCGGGTAAGGTGGTTGTAAATCGGGCCGATAACCTGTATAATAAGTATGAGCGTTGGTATCATTGACTTTTTGTTTGTCTGATGGTTGTTCAGGTTGAGAACTATCAGTAGGTCTTACAATTGATATTTTTTCAGTGCTTAAAGTTACTCGAGGTGAATCAGTCGTCGGTTTAACGTTTTCACGATTATAATCCTCTACGCTTGGTTTTAAAGTAGAAATGCCTTCTTTGGGATAGTTGGTCCGTACTGTCGTCGAGGGGGTCGTGGTTGTAGAAGTGGTTTTGACTGTCTGCAAAAGGGTTGTGATCCTTGTCGTCAGCCGATTGTCCGCAGTTGTTTGTACTGGCGTTGGTCGGAATGGTGCATTTGTAGTACTGGACGTATGGTATTTAATCGCTCCCCGGTTAGGAGTCACTTCCGGGCTTTTTACAAAGCTCAAAATGTTTTCAAAGATGCTATCGTTGGATTCGTACGGCTCTTTATAATCTTCCTCGTTTGTCGTGGACGTTTCGACCTTAGACGGCTTATCCGTGAATGGCGTGGGCACATCGATCTCTGAACCGTTCTTGTTAGTCCCATTGCCGACTTCGGACGAAACGCCTAAAAATTCATAGTCTCCTTTCGACTTGCTATCCGAATAGTCGTAGTCGTATTCGTATTCGTACAAAGGAGGGGGTGTGGTCGTCGTGGTCGTTTTAGATGTCGTGGTGCTCACGGTCGTCGAAGAAGTAGAAGGTCGAGGGGTCGTTTGTAAAGTGGTTTTGTGAGTATAGTAAGAAGGAGGTACTGTCGAAGGAGTCTGAGCGGTCGAAGTAGTCGATAGTCTGTGATTGCTCGCATGCCCTTGTATTTTTGTATTAGCGTAAGAACTCGAGACAAGAGGGTACTTCCCTGAGCTGGAATAATGGACTGGCAAGTTTAGGAATTTATGCAACTCGGACTCTTTCGAGTTGGTAAAAGGTGTTATGATGTTCTGACTCGATACGCCGTCTTTTCTGTCTATGGTCTCTCCAGACTCGTCGAACTCTTCGTAGAGGTAATCGGCTCCTTTTGCGACTGGGGTCGTCCGCAGGTCGAGCGCTCCCGTTAGAGGGTCTCTTTCTGCCAAAAACGGTTTTCCGTTGTTGAACGTGAACGACTGGACGGACATCAAAGGCTGAGGTAACTCTTGGACACGTGCTGAAATTCCTCCTTCGCTCGTGGCTTCGCTTGGTGTCAGCGCCCAAAGCATGAGCACCATCATTGGCGAGTACTCCATTCTCGTCCTGAAATTAAACAACATTTGAAAACTTTTTCAAAACTGGGTTAATGGACAACTTAGAACATATTGAGTACTTGAAAATAACAAAATTGTATTGTCCTTTTTCTAATTTGTTACTAGCACACAAGCTGCTTATCCGAACTTATTATTTCCAACTTTATGGAATTCTGGAAAAAACCCTAATTTCCAGATTGAATACACTAGCTTTTAATTTAGGCTTTTCTATATTCTATTGTCCGCGGTAATAAAATAATACTTTTCTTCTTATATACAACGTATATACTTCCTTCTGTAAAGTTGCGATATGGATTATCAAGTTAACAAATTTTTGGAATCACAGAAATTTGCATTTGGTGAAAATGGGAAATGGAAACGGTATATCAACGGAATGATAGACAAATTCCAATCTCAATATCAGGCCAAGAATATATTTTGCCAATATAAAACTCCACCTTTTACGTAAGTAACAACGATAAATAAAAAGGTGAAGATTTTTTAAACAATTACAGGGCAGAAAGCGTATATAATTCTCAATGGTGAAAAAATCGAGAAATGGCCACATTCTTAGGGTTCACATTTTTTTGAAAAAAATGTCTCGGCTATTTTATCAATAAACAATTAAAAAAGCTCATGAGACAAACTATTTCAATTTATGATTTTTCACATGTAAACAATATTAAACCGAAGAAATTCATAAAAGTACACATTTATTCGTAATACACTTTTGTAAAGATAACGTAAGGAAATTCAGTATTGTGTGATAAAATAAGTTGTTTATTTGTTTCAAAAAGACAAAGAAAAACATTGTTTTTTAGAAACTGTCAGAAGCTTGAAAATCTCTTGGATATTGCGTACCATCTGCAAAGTTATGTGAAATTGTAATTGGAGAAACGAAATAATGCATAAACCGCAGATAAAAAATATCAAATCTAGAAAAAATAACAAAAAGAAGTGTTTTTTTGATTCAAAAAGACACAGAAAAAAATGTGTTTTTTTAGAAACATTCAGAAGCTTGAAAATCTCTTGGCTATTCCGTTCCATCTGCAAAGTTATGTGAAATTATAATTGAATCAACGAAATAATGCATAAACTGCAGATAAAGAATATCAAATCTATAAAATAGAAAGTAACTTAAAAAAGGATTAAAAAGATTTCAGAAGATTTATTGTTAGCATCCGCCCGATTAAAAATAAGTTATACAGTTAGTCCTCGTACGGAATAAGTAAACTCAGTTGTATAACGGTAGCGGATCTGCGAAATTAGCCACAAACACCCGCAAAGAGTTAATTTAGCGTTTGCCACATTGGGAAAAAAAGGAGGAAAAAAAAACGATGAAAGAAGGCGTTGATATCCGTTAGGGAGTAAGGTATGCAAGATGGAAGAGAACTAAACCGTTATGCTATAAGTGGGTCAGGATTGATAGTGAGAAACATTATTTAGAAGGTCGTCTAAGGCTGTTGGGGAATTCGTCAAACCTAAATAAATCCGTCCTAACGGGCCGTCCCTTCAATGTTATCTCGGTACGGTCATCAAGAGCACTTAACCTTTCGGACTATACTTAAAACTGTCAACCCAGATTTGGAGAAAATGGGTTTTTCTTTCACTTTTCCTCTCACAGGAAATCCACCGCCCAAGAATTTTATATATCTTGCCAGTTAGTATTATAATTTTTTTTTATCTTTACCCACTCTATTCCACAGACGGAGACAATCAAAATCTTTGGTTGTTTCCGTCTTTGGAATAGTGTGGGTCAAAATAAAATATCAATTATAATAACAACCAATAGAATAGAATAACATCATTACCACGTTAAAATATTACAGTTTTTAAGTATTATAATTCTAAAACGTCATCCATGAAACTATGAAAAAAGATAGCTATATTGATAACAATGAAACAGCAGGAAAAAGCCCAGCAGTTTTTCAACGATTCTATTTTGTAATTAATAAACAATAGACAGTGGGAGAATAGGTGACCTGAGTCAAAGGGGGACAGTGATTTGGTAATATTTGCAAAATGTCTAAATTCGGACAATTTTTCTCCTTTTTCCATCCTTCAATTTAGAAACGTTCTTACAAAAATATTATTCGGTTAGAATGTAATTGATAAACTTTTTTTAGACCAATGAATTTTACGAAACAACTCATGTTAAATTTTTCTTATTTCTCTCTCTCTCTCTCTTTCTTTCTCTCTCTCTCTCTCTCTCTCTCTCTCTCTCTCTCTCTCTCTCTCTCTCTCTCTCTCTCTCTCTCTCTCTCTCTCTCTCTCTCTCTCTCTCGCTCTCTCTTCTTCTTCTTATCTCTCTGTGTTAAACACACAAACACGCACACATTTTTTTTGAGAAACAATGGAGTCATTGGTCAAATCTTAGGAAAGGAAGAAGAGCTCACGTCGAACATGGCCGTAGATGAAGTTCCGCTGTAAGCTAATCCAGTTACAAGTACTGCATGGTATTATTGGTATGGTCTGGTAATGAGAATACTAGGAACCGGTGTTTCTGTTCCCCAGGCACTGCAGCCTTCTGGCTTATTGTACCTTCCTAGTTTCCTAATTCAGTGCAATAGACTCAATCCTTCTTTGATCTATCAGGTCATTGACTGTCGCTGATACAATTTCATTCCCTAGATTATTTTCGTATGTTAGGAGCTGTTGCTTCGCATTCAAAGATGTTATCCTCCTTGCATAATCTGCAGATGGGATCATCGTTGTATATACCCATGTTGTGCAGATGTGTCCTCAGATGCCAGTGACCGGTTAGTCCTATCACTCCTCTGAGTAGCCCTGTCCAATTGCAGAAGAAAGTTTGCCAGTCTTGGATGGCGATGGAGGATTCTATATTTCTAGTTGACAAAATGACCTCAAGAAGATCCAATACATCAGTTTCATTCTATATTTGTTTTTATTATCCCAAGGATAGGTTCGGCGCCTATGTATGTTCTTGCAGATCCTCCTCTGGCCAGTCTGCTTTCTCATCACCCAAAATTCCCCCTGTGTCCTGGCACCCATAATATCACCAGGTTGTTGGTTTCCCCAGGTTTTGGAGATTTGGGATGCATTCACTGACTTTGATGTGATTGTTTTTTACATGCTAATGCTTTAATGGCTGCCGTGCTATCAGATCTTGTGACGATTTTTTGCCAAGTACTCGCATACTTTCCAATAAGTGTGGAGTGTCCCGAAGAAATAGGCAGTCGACATCTTTAAATCATCATGAAGAGAAAAAAAAAAGAACAGCAGATTTGATCAGCAAGAACATCTATCACAGCAATTCACCAAGAGAACAGAAACTTTCACAAATCTTCTAAAAAAAAACCGAAGATTGCCAGGCATGGGGTAAAGTGGCGAAATAGAACCCCGTGGAAAATGGATCGTGGTCAAACGGCCTTTGCATTTGCAACAAGGAAAAAAATCAATACCGTTCGTTTTTTTGGAATATTTGTTCCCGATGCTATATGAATTTTGAATTATTCTACCAGCAGTTAAAAAGAACACGGTTTAAATGTAAAGAAATTTTGCCTTTTTGTATTTCTCGGACCAGGGACAAATCGAAAGATCTTCGTGGGGCCAAACTTCTGCCATACCCACCAGGACCTACAGACCTCGCCTCTTCAGTGCATTACTTGTTTAGATTCATAGCCTACTTTCAAGAAGAAAATAATTCAGAAGTTAAAATTGGCTGAATCAAACCATAGATGGTTGGAAAAAATCTGTTTCTTCTGATTTATACAACTGTTATTTTTACTTATTTCCATATAATTAGCGATTATTCTTGAACATTTAAATATTTAAATTTTCTAATTAAAAGATGATCAGGGCCACTAATGATTTTTCCTTATTTACCTAGATATTCTCCAGGTTTAGAGTAAACACGTCAGATATTTGGATTTGTTTTTAAAACTCGTTTTTTTCTAAATTACCTGGCGTCATCGACTTCTTAATGGAACAAAAGGAATCTAACCTATCGTATGTAGGACAGAGATTTATGGGTGTGACTAATGTTTGTCTACGATTGTCGGTCGTCATTTGTCATTTGTGAGTCATTCGTCTACTTTCACCTGGAAGCGATTAGGAATAATGCTGAGAGATTCCCTGCCCTTCTCATCCATTAACACTCCTAGCCAATTAGCATGCCGTTCGGAAACAAGGAATCTCTCGCGGCCCGACTTCGTAACAGTGACATAAAAAGGAATAAAAGTCGTAAGTTTGTATTACGTCTAATCATGACAACAGTGAAAAAAAAGCTGAAATAATGTTTTTTAACATTATTTAGCACTTTTGTCTATTGGTTGGTCTAATGGTTATCCTAGAAGAGATTTCTTTTCAGAGGTGTTGCTAGAGATGGCTTTACTAGGTACCATAGCCTTTTCCTAGCTACTGCAATGCCCATTGCATAGGATATGTTCTGTTGCATCTGTATCCTCTAGACATAGTCAATATTGCTTATCTATTAATAGTCCTCCCTCCGAAAGCCGTCACTCCCGCCGAAGTCAAGTATATCCTGTCTCGTTTATCGAACCGCGAAGCTCCTGGTTTTGACCTAATAACATCCCAAATTCTCCAACAACTCCCTAAAAAAGCCATTATATTCTTCACATACCTCTACAATTGTATACTCCGCACTACCCATTTTCCCTTACTTTGGAAATATTCTAACATCATCCTCTTCCTGAAACCTGGCAAACCAGTTCAAAAACCCTCATCGTATCGACCAATTAGTTTACTTCTCATCGTGTCCAAAGTATTTGAAAAAATTCTCCTTAAAAGGCTATTGTTACAATTAAAGTGTAACCTCCTCCCCGATCACCAGTTTGGCGTCCGCCCCATCATTCCATAGTCCAGCAGGTGTTTGCGTTGTTGACCGTATATCCTCCTCCGTCAAAGAATTTGTATGGGAGCTTTCCTTGATGCGGCACAAGCGTGTGTGGCACAGGCGACTCCTGTACAAATTAAAGCGTGTCCTTCCAAATACCCTTTACTTAATCCTCCCCTCTTATCTAACAGAGT